TTTATTGGTTAAAACATAAATCTGCTGTATTTTATTATTATAAAATATCAAAATATTATTTATCAATACTTATTAAATTTGTTAAAATTATTTTTACTTATGATAGTTGATTTTATTTAAGTTCTGTTACTCCTGATAACCTGACAAATATTTGTCAAAATGTGTTTATTTAATATATTTTAAAATTTATTTTTTCGATAAACAAATTTTAAAAATAAAATACAAATTGCTATAATTTCATCAATAAATCTATAATATTATATATATATTCTTTTTTTCAGACCCTAATCAGTATGCCCAGGCTGTTCAAAACCAGGGGTATTTAATTAGTGGTCCACGTAATTCAAGGCATCATGTAAATTCAGCTACACATAACGTTAGTGATATGAAAAATAATCATATGACTAATATGGGCCACAGTAAGTAAAATATATTATATTTAAACTATAAAAAATAATATTTTTGAATTTAATAATTAATTTAGGTCCAATCCAAATAGTGCCTACACAAATTTCTCAAAGACAGCAAACGGTAAGTATATTGATAAAATAATTATGTAGTTCTTATTTAACAATTATTTATTAACCATTACTTTMTATAGATTAACATTTTTAATTACTATCATGAAATATGTCTACACAATTGTATATAAGTAGTTAACGAACAATATTAAATTGAAGAAATTAAATAAATATAATAAAAAGTTTTACATGTGTGATATTTATACATTTTATATGTTTAATGTAATCAAATATAAGTTACTTGTGAAGAAGTCATACCCGCATGCATTTCCTTAGTCTTTTAAAAAYTTGCAATATAGAAAATTTATTTTCAATAGAACCAATTATGTGTTGTTTGTTTTAATATTATAATAAACATTTTATCAAATTTATGGTAAGAACATTATCTGTGTTTGTTTAAATCTGTTTGTTAGATTTTAATCTGATGTATTAGTTTTGCGATGATGAGTATTTTTTTTCTAAGAGAACGCTATACCTGCATGTGTTTTCCGTATTACAAACATACAACATACCAAAAACTGTTTTACCCAAGATAAAACCACTCGGGCTATAGTCATAACTCAGAAACAAAATTTTTACACGTAAAAAGAAGAACATTTATTGTGCAACATCTTTTTATTTTTTCGAAAGCTCAAATACAAAAAAAAAAATTGTATTGTTTAATAAATCGTTATTTCAAACTTGAATACATTTTTTTGTATTTGTGATATCAAAAAAATAAAACAATGTTGCACAGTAAATGTTCTTCTTTTTATAGTGTGAACATATGTTTCTTAGTTATGACTACAGCCTGATTGGTTCTATCCCGCTTAAAATAGTTGTTGCTATGTTGAGATAACACATGCCGTATAGCATCCTCTCAAGACTTAATAATTGTTCCTAACATCAACTTTTAGCAAAATTTACGGTAGAAAATTGTATCTGTATTGTCTTTGTAGTGGAAGAGAGAACAAAAGCTGATATTTCTCAATAATTGTAGTGATAAAATATACCTACCTATATTAAACATAAAATTTCTATTGCCTTTGTATAAAATATCATTAGTATAATATAATTTTTCTTCAATTGCAATTAGAAATATAATTATATAATACTAGTAATGATAGTATACACTTTTGAAAAAAAAAAATTATGAAAAAATTATTTGATAATTATTATGTTATTTCACAGAATATTGCTTGTTTTTATTAACTACTGGTATTTATTAGTATATATACCAATAATCTAATACATACCAATTTATCTTAAAATGTTTTCACTAGGTTTATAGTATGATTAAATACCTATTAATTAATTTGAGTTTTTTTTTTTTTTTAAATTTAATTGTGTACAGTATAGTTGATAATAATCACACCAACTCTAATATAAAACGTCCAAATGGGTTTGATGACCATAACCTAACCTATGGTCTCCAACTCTAGGGAAATGCAAAAAAATCAAATACAAATTGTATTCAGGCTTTTCAAAATATCGCACTAAGAAAATTAACGAACTCCCCTCTTATGTTTCTAATCATACCCTTCATGCAGACCTGAAAATCAAGTCTGTAAAAGAAGAAGCAGTCACTTACTACAGCAGATTCCATAATCGGCTTGCATCTCATCCCAATCCTTTAATTAAAGCTCTATCAGCAAATACTATTCTGGGAAATCCTCCAAGGCGTTTAAACGCAACTGTTGTAGAGATATGTTAACTTAATATTTATATATAAAAAAAAAAAAATAAATAAATTCAAATACATATTTATAAATTAATGTATAATCTCAATATTTAAGTGTCATCACTGGGTGGCTGCTTTTATCAAGCCTTTTTATATATTTTATTATTATCTCAGCTAATACTCTTATTGTACCCATGAGGTACAGATTGTGTATATAATAATAAAGAATAATAAAAAAATAATTGTGTATAGTAAATAATTCTAACATAGATAATTAGTTTATCACTAAAAATTTGAAGTTAAAATAAAAGATTTTTTACTGCTCAATAAGGTAGTGACTGACACAAAAAAAAAACTCATGATTGTAAAGCCAATACATTAAACACTCAGAATCTAAAATTGGTTCTACTGAATCAAATCATAATTATTTTACGCTTAAGACACAGAAAAAAAAACATGGAAATGTCTCTTAGTTATAAATGAAAAGATATTTTTATGTATAACTTAGTTATTTAAAGTTTAAATTGCATGAAATAATACAAGTCTTTAAATTAAAAATATATTTATGTTTTATTGACAGTAAGTAGCAGAAGTGTATTTTTTCATTATTTTTCAATTAATATGACTGGGAATATGTGATTGAATATGGGATACCCCTATTTAACATTGGTGTTATGCTAAATAGCTTTATTGTGGTATTTAATGGTGTTAGAAAATTTACTGACCTAATAGCCTGTTTCCCTTAAAAGATTCACCATTCAAACAATGATTAAGCCCTTWGCACAGATTTTTAATAGTTAAAATAAATTAAAATACCCATCAAAAATCCAGTTTAATGTTTGTGCAATAAATGATATTAGTATCATCTAGATAATATTTGTTTTTATCTAAATTTATCAGTTATAATTCGTAAAATATTAATATATTGGGCTAGTAATTGTCTGAATATGGTAATTAATAGTAATGAGATTATAAAAGTATTATATTTATCTTAATATTAAAATTTGCTTATCCTTTGAATAATTTGTATTTTGATTTAATGTAATAATAAATTCTAATTTTATTGATAATTGACATTTAAAAAAATATATAATTATTTAATCCCATTACTATTTTTGCAAAAGTTCGTACAAAAAAACTATTTGTGTTAGTGTATATGATGTTTAACTTTTYCCAAACTAATTTTTGTTATGTTTATTAATGCTTGCTTTTTGTGCTCAGCTACCCCACCATATAAGACAAAATGCACCGCGTAATTTACCAAGAGGACCCTTCCAATATCAGGTAATTTTCGATGCAAATTACTGAATTATTAAAAATAAATAAAGTTAATTTATAATCTTAATATTTTCCTTCTGTTTAGTAAAATTGTTTGACTTACTCAGTCCCAAGTCTATATAATTAAATAAACCTTTTTAATTTTGGTTATCTTTTGATATATTAAAAATGTAGCTAGAACATTAGCCATTAGCTAAAACATCTTATTACATATATTAGAAAACAATAAATCCACTTTAAATATTAA